TAATAATAGGGTTTAATTTTTAATTAAAATCTCCAAAAAATTGAGAGTTTGACACCTAAGCAAATTAATCCAAAAATGCTTCTCCTTTAATATATAGAAATTTTTTTTTTTTTTTGAGAAAAAACTTTAACAATAATTGTTTAATGCAATGCATAATACATTTTACTCTCTTTTCTTGATATACACCAACACCAATTTATGCCCTTATAAGTTATTTGCATTTGTGATACAAATTTTATCACAATAGAGAAATTCTCTCTTCTGAGAAGAAAGTGAAGTCCGAACCAGACAAAAGAATCCTAATCATGAGGCTGGTTTGCACAATATATTCCATAGATGCAAGTTGCTATGGGATTCTGCAAGTAGGCATTCACAATTTATGCCCACATTTAAAATTTCAGCTTTGGATAATCTCCTTTAGTTCTTAGAAACGTCTGAATTGGTTGTTAATCAATATGGATACTCTAGGCATCTTACTCTGGTGATACGATGAGTTACATTGAGTAAGATTTGGTGGATTTTATTCCATATCTCGAGCTTCAAGTTGCATTTTTTTCTATGATAAAAAGATACCACGGCCATATTTGAAACACGTTGCTAAAGACAATGATGATTGGTGTAAATGATCATATATAGTAGCTTTCTAAGAATATTTAGGAACAAAAAGTAAGGAAAGGGTAATTAAGTGTAATATTCCTCACCTAGTGGCATGGTTTGATCCTTTTTGCAACTTGAAGAACTAAATCCTCATGTAATATTTGGTTCCCTTGTACATTTAGTTGTTGTGGAGCTCAATTAACATGTTGAATCTATAAGGTTACTATAATATCTCACGGGCACAATTTTCGCCTAGTGAAGTTGCTTCTTTCACATTAAAACTTGCAAAATGTAACAGATTTGGAAGAAAAATAGCGTATGTGTATGGATCTTAGAGTGGGATCCAGTTCGATATAGACTAGATAAACCATCATTTTAAAAGAACGTTTATTTTTTTGGGTAATCTTTGATCATAGAGAGAACTTAGGAAACTGAGAATCTTAACACTCTTTAGTCTTTAATTATATGAACAACAAAGCTAAGTTTGTTTTTTCCTTCCAAAACAGTGCAGACTACTGTTGTCACTAGGAGAGTGAGCTAGTAACTGGTAAATAAATAAAGAAAAATATATTTATATAGATATTGTACATCAATATATACTGCGACAGTACTTAAGATGATAATAACACATATAATAATTATTATTTTTTGTCATCTGAATATATATATATATATATAATAATTATATACATTGATTAACAAAATATTTACTTTCCAAAATGTCATGGTCCAATATCTGTATCGATTCAGAGACTCTAAAAACTAAATCAATACAAAATTTGGAAGCGTTGAAAAGAATATTCAAATAATTAAGATACCATTCACGGTTAAAAGATGCCGACAAAAAGAGAAAATAATAGAGGAAAATCAGAAAGAGAATATTCGAAAGCATCTCTTGTCCACTTTAACTTATATATATATATAAAATTATTCAGCGTTAAATCGGCGCAATACTATATACTAGGGGACCTCGAAATAATCCCCAAAATCGTGCAACCAACGTTTTCGATTAAAATCTGTAAAGAGTGATTAGACAAATAATTAAACGAATTTAAATTTAATCAAGATTTCAAAATAAGGGCCTGACTAATATTTGATTTCAAGATTATCAAGCCCATAGTCTGATTATTTAACGAGTAGATTATTTTAAGCGATAATGATCAAATCTGGTGGTTAAAACGAAACCTTTATAATTGTAGTGAACAACACGCGAATTTAACATATCGTTTTTAAACGATCTGTTACATCAAAAAAGTAAAACCAAAATAACCAGAACCAAACCGGGGAAACACAAACTGAAGCAGAACCAAATCTAAACCGAAAACAGAGCAGTTAACAAAACTGCAAAATCTCCGATTACCAAGCACCACCACCGCTTCCTCCGTAACCGCCGTCACCTCCTCCGTAACCACCTCCTTCACG